ACCATGGAGATATAAACAGCTTTTTATAAGGTAAAAATAATAAAACAAGGTCTTTGTCTGCAATGATTAGACATGTTTTTTATTATTGTCATTAGTGATTATCTCAATTTCAGCTAAAAGACTTGATAAAATCCTACACACTGTGCCTTTAAATAAGGTTAAACTAAATTCAAATTTCAGGTTATATCAACACAAAGAGTTTCTGTTCCTTCAGATGAACATGATTCATCCTCAGACTCCAAATCTGTCAGGTTTCTGTTTTATTCTGAACCGACCTCGGTACCGACCCACACTTTAGGTTCTGTCTGGATTTAAACATATCTGTAACTTTCACTGTTTTCATCTGCATCATCAGAATAAAGACTCACTAAAACTGTTCTTTAAAAGATTGCGTTAATGTGTGGAATAATTTCTTTAAAATCAAAATGTCTTTTTCTGAAAACTGAAAAAATTATTTTAGAACCAGCAGCTGTAAAATTAATATTGACCTAAAACAAAAGAGTTCTTTGAGGTTTATCTGAATTAAAGAGTTTAGATTGTTTGAATAATTTTGATAAATTTGACTTTGGAATTTTTCTGTTGGTAAAACAAATGGATGATTTTATCACAAACTGCTGAAGATTCTATAACATGAAGACTGAAGGAGCTTCTCTTTACTGCAGAGAAAAATACAAAGTTTCTGAGTTAAAACTTGACAAAAACTTCAGCTGTTTAATCTTCATGAAGCTTAAAAAAAAGCTAAAATAATTTCTCATTTCAGAATAACTCAACAAAGTTTTCCTTTAAACATGATTGACTGTAAAAGCTTTAAATCTGTCAGCTTTCTGTTTCTGTACTGAGCCAAACTTTACGTTCTGTTTGGATTTAAAACATTTCTGTAACTTTTCCTGTTTTATCTGCATCATCAGAATAAAGAATCATTGATTTCATCTGTGGATTTATTTTAAATCAGAACATCCCACCATGAAACACAAAGATGTTTTTATCTCTCGTCACGCTGTTTTAAAAGTTGAAATAAAGTTTGAGAAGTGAGAAAGCAAACATTTCATTATTTCTTCTTCTGTAGAAACAGAAACAAACTAAACGTTGAGGAAAAACAAAGAAACTGAGGATAAAAATCAAAACATTTCACCTTCTTTAATCATCAACACTTTGATTTTTACGTCTGGTTCCAGAATGAAAAGCTCTGGATTTATCTCAGCTGAAACTAAAACCTGTTTAATAAAACTGGGTTTATTTAGAAATGAAGGATTTTAAACAGAAAGAATCCTGCTCTGATTCAGTGCAACACTGATGGATTCAAGTACAAAACAAATCATTTAAAGAGTTTATTTCTTCTTCTTCTTGCTCTTCTTGCCTCCCTCCCCCTGCTGTGAGCTGGTGTCTCCTCCTCCGCTCTTCTGGGTGCGAGTCTTCAGTTTGGGGATCATCTCGGCCACGTAGATCATCACAGCTTTACCTGGAAAACAGCAGGTTAGCTGAGAGCTGCTCCTGCTGCGGGCGCGTCTCAGGCGGGTGGAGCTTAACTTACGGGAGGTGAACTTGTCCTGGCAGAGGCTGCCGTCGGCCTGCTTCAGCTGGACCCGGACCCGGCCCCTGAACTGGACGTCCCTGTTCCACTCTCTGGGGTGCATCTTGTTCTGGGATCAAACACGGAGCAACATGAAGGTGTGCTGGTTCTGACCCGATACCTGAAGATCCAGCTGCAGCTTTTACCTCCACGTACACGTTCATCCCTGCAGCCGTCAGAACGTCTCTGATCTCAGCGCAGGACGGGTTCTCCACCGCCTACACACACACACACACACACACACAC